GGGGGTTGGGCCCATCCTCCTAGGATGAGAAAAAAGCTGGGGAGCCAGAGGCTTGGTGTACATGGGGCAGTGACCTTGGCCTCTTGAGCACAGCTGGGAAGCCCTAGGAACACACATACATTGCCCACTTAGGCCTCTATTAGCACGTCTGCTCTAGCACTGAGGCAGTGTTGGGACCACACAGATGCATGCACACAGCAGGTAGTGACCTCTCCTGAGCCTGATCTACCCCTCTAACCTAGCATATGCCTCTGTGCAGGTGAGAGCCCAGATTTGGTGTCTGAATGCCTAGCCAGGGCCCCTGGCTGGGTAATGTGATGGCTCTGGGCCTTAGCATTCTCATTTGAGAGATGAGATGGGGCAGGCTCCATCACCAACTGCTCTCACAGAGCGTACATGTTAGATCTGAGCCCGGTGCCTGCCACTAAACAGAGGCACCGGTGATAACTACCAAGTCTGGGCCTGCTTCCCAGGGGAAATTTTTTTCACAAGTATCTGTGCAGGGCAGCTAGACTGGCCCTTGAAAGTGCATACAGGGTCCATCCCAGAACTCTTGTAGCTTTGATCCCCTGCATGAACAAAGTGTGGACATACCAATACACATTACTGACATGTATGCCCACCTGACCCGCACCCACTCATGCCCACTCTGCAGGGCAGCGCTCGCCATTGAATGACTTCCAGGTGCTCCGGGGCACAGAGCTACAGCACCTGCTACATGCAGTGGTGCCCGGGCCTTGGCAGGAGGATGTGGCAGATGCTGAAGAGTGTGCTGGTCGCTGTGGGCCCTTACTGGACTGCCAGTGAGTGGCCACTGGGCCTAGATAAGACTGGGGGCAGGGCAGGCTGGGCTGTGGCGTTACCCTGTGCCTTCTCCAGGGCCTTCCACTACAATGTGAGCAGCCATGGTTGCCAACTGCTGCCATGGACTCAACACTCGCCCCACACGAGGCTGCGGCATTCTGGGCGCTGTGACCTCTTCCAGAAGAAAGGCGAGTAGGGGTGGAGAGGGACAGGGTGGGAGATAGGGGACCTCAGCCCAAGTTGATCTTCTGTCTCTTGCTCCCAGACTACATACGGACCTGCGTCATGGACAATGGGGTTGGGTACCGGGGCACCGTGGCCACAACCGTAGATGGCCTGCCCTGCCAGGCTTGGAGCCACAAGTTCCCGAATGATCACAGGTGAGACAAACACCTTCCCTCCATCCCGGCCTGGGGCCTTCCCCCGGCACACACTATAGTGCTGTTCTGGGCCCTCAGATACACGCCCACGCTCCGGAATGGCCTGGAAGAGAACTTCTGCCGTAACCCTGATGGCGACCCCGGAGGTCCTTGGTGCTACACAACAAACCCTGCCGTGCGCTTCCAGAGCTGCGGCATCAAATCCTGCCGGGAGGGTAAGCGGCGCCGGGTCAAGCTGGGAGAGTGGAGGGACAAGCCCACGCCCGTCCACCAACCCACTGGCTGTTTGTCTCCAGCCGCGTGTGTTTGGTGCAATGGCGAGGATTACCGCGGCGCGGTGGATCGCACGGAGTCAGGGCGCGAGTGCCAGCGCTGGGATCTCCAGCACCCGCACCAGCACCCCTTCGAGCCGGGCAAGTACGCGCAGGCGGTGTCGGCACCCAGGGGGCCGGGCTAGGGAAGGTCCAGGACTCCAGGGGCAGGGCTCCGTGTAGGGCAATTGGGCGGGGCCAGACAAGCCTGAGTCCCAGGGTCTTGTTCACGCCCCATTACCGCCCCCAGATTCCTCGACCAAGGTCTAGACGACAACTATTGCCGGAATCCTGACGGCTCCGAGCGGCCCTGGTGCTACACCACGGATCCGCAGCTCGAGCGAGAGTTCTGTGACCTTCCCCGCTGCGGTAGGCGGCGGGAACCGGGCCTGGGAGGGTACCTGGGAACCTTGGGGAGGGGCGTGGCTTGACTGGGGAGGGAAGAGGGGCTGGTCGTGACCTGAGAGCATATCCCTTGGAGTACCGTACACCTGCGAAAGGCGGGTTTGGTCCCAGCCCCAGAGGGATCTCAGCTATAGCTCGGGGTCTGACCTATCTCGGTCCATCCAAGGGTCCGAGGCACAGCCCCGCCACGAGGCCACGACTGTCAGCTGCTTCCGCGGGAAGGGTGAGGGCTACCGGGGCACAGCCAACACCACCACCGCGGGCGTACCTTGCCAGCGTTGGGACGCGCAAATCCCGCATCAGCACCGATTTACGCCAGAAAAATACGCGTGCAAGTGAGGTGGGGGGCGGGTGTTGGGACGTGCTGCCGCGGGTGAGACGGGAGGAGGGTAGTCACGGGCTTAGGGCTGGAGGCTGGCGGGCTAGGACTGAGTGGAGCGCCTGCTTAGAGACCTTCGGGAGAACTTCTGCCGGAACCCCGACGGCTCAGAGGCGCCCTGGTGCTTTACACTGCGGCCCGGCATGCGCGTGGCCTTTTGCTACCAGATTCGGCGTTGTGCGGACGACGTGCGGCCCCAGGGTGAGGCCCAAGCTTGGGGGCTAGAGCCGGGGCTGGAAGCCTGGAACCGGAGGGCCAGGGCGAGGTCTCGGCCTGATGGCTGCCCCCACCCGCCGCAGACTGCTACCACGGCACAGGGGAGCAGTACCGCGGCACGGTCAGCAAGACCCGCAAGGGTGTCCAGTGCCAGCGCTGGTCCGCTGAGACACCGCACAAGCCGCAGTGAGTTCCTGGTGCTCCCGGCCCCGCCAGGGCCCTAACCCCGGGGCGGCATGTTTTGGTGTCTGGGACCAGAGCCTGGAGATGGTTGACACTACTCTGCCACGATTTTGCTCCCGCTCCTAGGTTCACGTTTACCCCTGAACCGCACGCACAACTGGAGGAGAACTTCTGCCGGAACCCAGATGGGGATAGCCATGGGCCCTGGTGCTACACGATGGACCCAGGGACCCCATTCGACTACTGTGCCCTGCGACGCTGCGGTGAGCACTAGTGATGCTTCCCCCATGACCCTGCCTCAACCCCCACCACCAAAGACTGGCTCCCTTAACCCCAGTGAACTTTGTCTTTCAGCTGATGACCAGCCGCCATCAATCCTGGACCCCCCAGGTTAGGAGTTGGGCCAGTTATGGGTCAGGCCCTTTAGCCCACCACATCCACACAGTCTGGGTTTCATCCAGCCCATCCCATCCCACAGACCAGGTGCAGTTTGAGAAGTGTGGCAAGAGGGTGGATCGACTGGATCAGCGTCGTTCCAAGCTGCGTGTGGTTGGGGGCCATCCGGGCAACTCACCCTGGACAGTCAGCTTGCGGAATCGGTGAGGCACAACTGCTTGTCTCCCACAGAGAGCAGCTAAGGTTGTGTCCTCTGTAGTTATCCCACTGGGGGTTGGGAATCTATCCCTGCCCCCAGAGGTCCTAGCCAGAAGATGGCAGGTCTAGCATCTGTCCCAGGACTCTGTTCCCTGTCCTAATTCCCCACTCCTCCAGGCAGGGCCAGCATTTCTGTGGCGGGTCTCTAGTGAAGGAGCAGTGGATACTGACTGCCCGGCAGTGCTTCTCCTCCTGGTGAGCCTCCCTTGTGTTTGGGGACCCAGTCTCATCCCACCTTCCCCCTTCCCCAGGCAAGCTAACCAGTGAGCCTTGGGGCAATGGACTGAGAGTCACAAATGACCTAACAGAGCTTCTCTCCCAGCCATATGCCTCTCATGGGCTATGAGGTATGGTTGGGCACCCTGTTCCAGAACCCACAGCATGGAGAGCCAGGCCTACAGCGGGTCCCAGTAGCCAAGATGGTGTGTGGGCCCTCAGGCTCCCAGCTTGTCCTGCTCAAGCTGGAGAGGTATGTGGACAACCTGGGAGGGTGTGAGGTGGGACTGGGCCTTGTGGCCTCAGACCCTGAGTGCCCCCATTCTTGCTAAAGATCTGTGACCCTGAACCAGCGTGTGGCCCTGATCTGCCTGCCCCCTGAATGGTATGTGGTGCCTCCAGGGACCAAGTGTGAGATTGCAGGCTGGGGTGAGACCAAAGGTAAGAGCACAGTGCACAGGACTGCTCGTGGCCAGGAAGCCCAGCCTTGGATCTTCCTCCAGGGCCCTCTCCTTCTCCCCATTCGCCTCACTGCAGGTACGGGTAATGACACAGTCCTAAATGTGGCCTTGCTGAACGTCATCTCCAACCAGGAGTGTAACATCAAGCACCGAGGACGTGTGCGGGAGAGCGAGATGTGCACTGATGGACTGTTGGCCCCTGTGGGGGCCTGTGAGGTTGGTGGCAGGGCCCTGGGCCAGCCCTGGGAGGGTATGGGGGGGCTAGAAATGAACTATTTTATCATGAAGGGGGCTAGTCATTGCTGTGGCCCAGGGCCCTCATCAGTTCTCCTACCTGCCAGGGTGACTACGGGGGCCCACTTGCCTGCTTTACCCACAACTGCTGGGTCCTGGAAGGAATTATAATCCCCAACCGAGTGTGCGCAAGGTCCCGCTGGCCAGCCGTCTTCACGCGTGTCTCTGTGTTTGTGGACTGGATTCACAAGGTCATGAGACTGGCTTAGGCCCAGCCTTGACCCCATATGCCTTGGGAAGGACAAAACTTCTTGTCAGACATAAAGCCACTTTTCCTCTTTACGCCTGTACAGATGCTTCTTAGCCTCTGCTTCCAGGAAATGAGTTAGTGACTCCTTGCTAGGGCCTGGGTGGCTTGAGCCCAGCACACCCTGGGCTAGGTGATCTGTCCCTGGGACTACTTTTGCCCATGGGTGCCGTGGAAAGGCAGGGTCTCACTAGTCCCCTAGACATACTCTTGGGAAGGGTGGTGCAGAGTCGTTGCTAATGGAAGGGGCTGCAACAGGGAAGCTAGGCTGGTACAGAGTCCTGGTTGCCAGGACAGGCAGAGGCTAAGCCTCTCACTGTTCCTTCCCTTCTCACACTGGAGGCAGATGAAGCCCTTGTGGCTACCACACCCAGAACCTAGGGTCTCTGCACACCAGGGTGGGAGGTGGTGTTGGGATTGGCTTGGTACAAAGTACCAGCAGGAACCAGGCTCTGTGTCCTAATTTATTATGACTACATAGCCCACATTCCTCTGCCCACGCATCCGTGGAGTCCAGAGCCCAGAAAGCCTCCTGTTGCCCTGCCAGACCTTGGAGCTCCCCAAGAGCGAAGTGTGGCACAGGCTGATCAGCTCATGCAGAATGGCAGGGCTTCAGCTGCCCAAGTGTGTGCGTAGCCAGAGCACAGCATTCATGAAGCTGTCTGACTCCACCTCCACCTCTGATAGTGCGTGGGTGCTTTTGGGATAGAGCAGGAGCCTGTAGAAATTAGTCAGCAACATTTAAGGTTGGAGGGTCCTCCTATGCTCAGCTGCCCACCAGCTGCCAGGGCCTTCCTGCTGCACTCACCGAACAGGCACATTCCGGGTCTTGAGGGCACGGTAATACTCCATGCCCTGCTTGAAGGGCACACGCCGGTCCTCCTGGCCCAACATCAGTAACAGTGGTGTCTTCACCTGGGTGTTTGGAGAGGAGTAGGGAGCTGTGTTGAGCTGGGCCCTGGGTTCTGGATGGATGGGCAGCACACAGGGCAAGGAGGGGGCTGCATACCTGAGGGATGTATTTGATGGGCGATTTGTCCAGCATCTCAGCCCACACGCTGAGGTCTGGCAGGCAGTCACTGCTGAAAGGAAAGCCAGCCTCCACCACGCACCTGCAAGACACTGAGCTGATGCAGACCCAGGAATTCTAGGCCTGCAGGGCTCCATGAGAATATGAGGTAGAGAAGGGAAGGGCAGGGACCTGTGGTGTATGCCTACCAGTCAGGGATGTCAGTGGAGCCCAACATGGAGGCGATGTTGATCACAGGGTTCCGGGCCACGCAGGCCCTGTAGGTTTCTGGGTACTGACCAATCAAGTGGCAGGAGATGAAGCCACCATGGGAACCACCCATAAGGGCCACATGGCTTGCATCAAAGTGTTCCTCCTGGAGCACCTGTTCCACTGCAAACTGTAGGGTGGGGCAAAGCATGCTGCAGCCAGCTGCCCACTCAGCTGAATGGGGGCATCCCCCTGGCAGCCCATGTTTCAGCCTGTCCAGAAGCCCCAGCCCCTGCTACCTGGACATCCTTCACATCCTGGTGGCCCACATTGCCTGGGAGGGAGAGGATGCTGTCCTGGCCAAAGCCCGTGGAGCCACGATAGTTCACTGAGGGCGGGGAGGGACCAGACAGTGTAGTCAGGCAACATTCCCAGCCCCCTGGACACCCTTTCCACACATCTGTGAAGTAGGCCCTGGGGCCAGCTATACCACAGACTGTCAAGGGGAAGGGACCCAGAGATTTGAGGCTGCCACCAAGTAACCACAGTGCCCTTCCCCTGGAAGTTCCAAGTTAGTCCTTGTTATCACTATGCCACAGAACCAGAGGCTGGGCCCCGGCAGTTCCTGGTAGTGGTTACTAGGTCTGGGCTACAGAAAGACCTGGAGACTAGAGTGGCACCCATGGTGCTTGTACAAACCAGGTCCACCCCTCTCACTCCACCACAGTCCTAACAGAGCTGTGGGTCCCTGCTCACTCACCTAGTAGTACCGCAAAGCCCATCTTGCAAAGCATGGCTGGGAACAGCATCCAGGCAGTGACAAAGGATGAATGGGGCCCCCCTGCAGACAGGGAGCAGAGGGTGAAAGGGCCAGCTAGGAGGAGGGCTGGGAGGGCAAGGGCTCTTTAACACCAGATGCCTACCGTGGGGCATAACCACCATGGGCACCTGGGTCTTATCTGGAGGGTTGCAGGGCTGCAGTAGGATTGCTTCAAAGTCAAGGCCAGCTGCAAGGAGAGGGCAGCAGTCAGCAGGGCCAGCCTAGGGGCTTCCCCAACCAAGGGCCCATCTGTAGCTGCAGGTCTGGGGCTGACCTCTGGGTCAGAGACCTGGCCAAGGTAGTCCACACCATGACACATGGACCCCAGAAGTCTCATGCTGCTTCTGCCCTCGTCAGGGAGCCCCACCCTGCAGGGACAGCATTCAGGATGAGGTGTGGTCACTGAGACTTGTATGAGGCCTATTTTCTTTGGACCTGGGTCTTCCCACCACACATGATTTGGCCTGGTGGAGCCCAGGTGATACCCAGAGCAGGCGCTCAGATGTCTAGATGCTACTTCCCATGCCCATCCACAAGAGGAACAGAAAACCTCTTAGAGGTCATCCCCAGAAACCCCACAATGCGAGACAGGAGGTAGCAAAGGTCACCGCAGAGGCTTTGTGCTGGGGAACCTGGAGAAGACATCCCTCTGCCCCTGGCCCAGCTCACCATACTGCACATTCTCTTGCTCTGGGGGTGGCTGTAGCACCCGGATGCCCCAGTGGATGTCAGGAATGGGCTCGGCCTCCTCCAGGGACACCCACAACACTGACTGCTCCTTCCCTGCAGAAGGCAGGAACCCAACTTTCTGCCAAGGGGAAGGAATATGTCACAGGTGGCCTGGCTGCCTCCCTGCCCTTCCCTTTTGCCCACAGTGGGAAATAGGCAGCTCTCACTATGCTGGGCCCTCCACCCACCTCCAGAGGGTATAGCATGGCTTCCTGTTGTGGGATGGTATATACCAAGGTATTCACACTCATACAATCACACATAGGCACACCCTTCCCTCCTCAGCTTTTAGGCTCTGTTGTCTCCTTAGATCTGTAATACCAGGACTGGGTACTTCCCCAGGCACCTTGTTCTGTACAGAGCAGATTCTAGCCTAGTAGTTCGTCCCTGTGAGTGCCAAACCCTCATGGACCATGCCAAGCTGGGCCTGTGTCTTGGCCCATCTGTATGCTGACCAGCCATGGTCAGACTCAGGGGCCAATTCCCTGACCTGGTGAGCTTGGCCTGCCCAGACCCCCTGCCTCCATGGCCTGGGACCCACCGACACTCACCAGGGTTGGAGGTAGGCTGGGTGTGGAAAACTGTGCCACCATGAGGTCCCTGTCAATTGTGAGCAGCTTCCAGCTCCCACCTGACCCTCCTGGAAAAGGCAGATGCCACTAAGTGCTTAGCAGGAGCCATCACCTTTCTTACCTGCTTCTCTTTAACAGAGTCCCAGGCTGGAGATTCTATGGAAAGGTGCCCAAGAAGGTGCCCAACTGCACATGGCCCTGGATGAGCCTCCTGCTCTCAGTCCCTTGTTCATCTGACAGACACTGGCTGGGCTGGGAACTGCCAGACCTTGAGATACATCAGACCATGCAGACACATCTGCCTGTCCCTTGGTGGCTGCTGTGTGCAGGGTGGCAGCTGGGACCGGGGAGTGTGCTGATTTGGGGCAGTGGTGTCCAAGCAGATTCTGAAGCAGTTGTACAATGAGATGTAGCTTTGGAATAATATTTTGGTAGCTTTGTGGAGGAGCGGGTACAGTCAGGTCAGGTGGAGGACTCAAAACACATCTCAAGGGCAGAATCACCAGGCCTAAGTATGGGGAAGATGCAGGAGTCAACACTGGGCTTTTCCTGGGCCCTGAGGTGGCAGAGCTGCCTCTGCCTGAGACAGGCACCCAAGGTTTGCAGAGGGAGAAAGATGACTCTGGCAGATCTTGGTAAGAGAGAGTTTTGTGGGTTTTAGGAGCAGAGGTAGGGGCCATGCTGAGGCTGGGCCAGGACACATGGAGCAGAGTTAAGTGCTAAAGGGCAGTAGAGCAGGGAAGCTAGTCTGTTGGTTGGGTAAGGGTCTGCACGGACAGGGCCTTTGGGGACCTGTTAGTAAAGGCTGTGGAACAGTCAGTGGTGCTGAGTGGCTGAGAATGCCATCACTGCCCCACATGCTGGAGCTCCAGTCCCCCACTGCCTGGCAGGCTTGCTCACCAGCCCTGTCCTTACCACCATCCCCAAAGCCTTGCTCACCAGCTGTGAGGGAGGTCACAGTGCCCACTTGGGTGTCCACAGCAAACAGGTCCTGAAGCAGAGGGGAGGCCACATGTGGGACCACATCCAAGAGTCCCAAGAGACCCTACCTATGGGTCCCTCCCCTACCTCCTCTCTACCGTCTTGGAGAGCCCTGGCCAGACCAAGGCTGTGGACAGCTATGGTGATGGTTACTCAGTGCAGTAGGGAGTAGCGTGAGGGCTTGGGTTCAAATCCCAGCACCATCACAACTTGCTGGGTGACCCTGGGCAAGGTAAGGAATGGCTTTGAGCCCCTTTGAGTTGGCACGAGCACCAAATATCACACCCAAAAGGAGCCTGGCACACTGTGGGTGCCTTTACTCCATCCCTGGGGGAAGGGCTCAGTCCTGTCCCCATCAGCTGCCATTACAGAGTGTTCAGGGACCCACCCCAGTGGCAGTCCCCTTGACCCCCAGCTAGAAATGCCTGGGAGGGGTTGCATCTCTGCCTCAGATGAAAAGGCCTGAGTTCTGCTGTGGTGTACCAGGCCAGCCTGTCCCTTCCAAGAGAAATGAGTCCAGGATGGGCAGGCAGGGTTTTAAGGGGCTGATGAGACTTTGTGGCTGGGCATTTCACCCAGGGGCATGCACGTGCTATGTCTCAGGGGCGCAGGGCTCCTGGGGGTTGACCACAGGGGCTGCCCCTCAACACCATCAGTGTCCCTCACCTGCCGGCTGCGCTGAGCCGAGTCAAAGACCACTCTCTGGCTGTCAGCTGACCAGCATCCCAGAGGCAGAAGGCTGCAGTAGATCCCAGAGAAGTTCTCTGTAAAGACAGGAGGGCTGGGGCTGCATCCAGCAGTAGAGGTAGGGAGGGTTAAGTCTACAAGGCAGGCTAGGGTACTGGGGAATTCACCCAGGGCCCTGCTCAGGCACCAGTCGGGCCCCTGCAGTTTGTGGCACACATGGGGGCACCCTACGTGATGAGGAACTGCCTGAGTGGTGGCTGAGGGGCAGAGGCCTCTGGGGACCCAGAGAGGCAGAGCTCAAGAGCTCCAGAGAGAAACCGTGGGTGCTGAGAGGAAAAGCACTTGCTCTCCTGAGTTGCTTCAGTTGAGCCCAGGTAGGTACCAGGTGCTTTAACCAAGATATCATTTGTCTGTCTTATCTCCACTGTGGTGCTTAGCACAGTGTCTGGCACAGGAGGCTCAGTAAATCCTGCCCTTTAATATCATCACTCACTTAACGCTCACTATAATCCTATGAGGCAGGCAGACATAATCACCCCTCCATGAAGAAATGGGAGCTCAGGGAGGCCAGGACCCTGTCCGAGGACATAGCTAATTTAGGGCAGAGCTGGGATTCATACTACGTTCCCACCACTGCATCCCTGCAACCCAAAGAGAAGACAAAGAGGCTATCCCTCATCTACTGAACTCCTGGAACTGGCCGGGTGGCCTGAGAAAACAAGAGACTCATCCTTGAGATGTTCCAGGAGAATCCAAGCAGAGCTATGAACACTCAAGACAGGAGTCTCTCAGCCAAGAGCCACCCTCCTGAAGACCCAGCTGACTTCAGAGCTGGACAAAGGTTGCTGGGGTTAGGATGGCGGACAGGATAATATCATGCCCTTGGGTCCAGAGCCTCTCAAGTGTGACATTCCAACCTAGTGCACTTCCTGAGACCCACTCGAAGGAATCATGGTTTTGGTTTGAACCAGCCATTGGAAAAATAAGAAAAATCTAATTATGACCTGCAGCACAGGAAATAACACATCATCAGCTTGGGCCACTCTGATCTCAGCTTGGTCCTACAACTCCTTGCTATTGAATTGTTCCCTATGGTGACAGCCCCACTCCCTGAGGATGCTGGGCATAGGGCTGGCCCAGCAGGGAGGGAGGGCCCTCAGAAGGAACCTAGGAAAGAAGAACGGGGCGGGATGCAACAGATGGCAGGAAAGCAGAGCTACAGGCCCCACTGCACCCACCCAGCCAGGTATGCCTTACCTCCCAGCTGCCGAGGCACAATGTCTACCACCACTGAGGTAACCTTGGTATACCAGTCATACTGCAAGAGAACACAATGGTCAGGCCCAGTAGGGGACAGGCAGTTCCCTTAGGGCACAGTGCCCCGTGCCTATCCCCTTTTGCCTTAGGTAGCCCCAGGAGAGGAGGGAACTGGAATGAGCCTGATATATCTCTTTTCTGGTGACCTGGACCAGATGCCCAAGGGGCCTCAGATAGGCATGTCCCTCTGACTTTTACTAGGGGCTCAGAGCTCTTCCTGGGGAGGGTCTGGGATTGTGTAACTCCCCACTATATCCCAGCCCCTTGCAGAGCCTGGTTACATGCAGTTGAGAGCCAAGGGGAGGAGCATTCTTGCAGATCAGCAGATCAGCATTCTCTCAAGGTGGCATGCCCCAACAGTGCAAAGCTCTCCATGGCAGCACTCTCAACCTCTAGGCCCTGCCTTGAGAGGACAGGCAGAACTCACACTGCTGCTGCACTGAGGACAGAAGGGCACCTACTGAGGGCCCATGGGGAGATGATGCTGGCCCTTCAGCTCTCATCCACCATCCCATCTTCTTGCTGACCATCCTCCCATCCCCGCCACCTCCAGCTCACCAGGCACAGCTGGCTGCACTGATGATGGGGGATCAGAGATGGGTACTGCAGGTAGACAATGCGACATTGGTCTGGGCTCAGCCGGGGAGAAGAGACAGCCAGGGAATCGTCTGAGAGGAGCTCTGGGCCAGATGGAAACAAGAGCATCACGCAGGCTGGCAGGGCCAACATGTGTCAGCAAAGCACAGGTGGGCATCAGCCACTTACCACACTTCCCCCCGATGAGGTCCACATAGTACAGGGCTGACCTGGAACCGCGAGACAGACATTCAGTCTCAAGGCCAGCTGGGCTGCAAGGTCCCTTGCCTTGCCCCACTCCCTCACCTGCGATTGGTGCAAAAGCGGATGCCCAACCGGAAGGGCTCATGCCACCAGCCCACAAACACCACACCAGCATCTCCAGGGGCCCAGAATGCCTGCAAACAAGATCACAGGGCAGAAGTGAGCAAGGGATGGTAGCTGAAGAAGGGCCCCAGACTCCAGGAGGGACATAGGCTGTTGCTGCTGACCTGTCCAGGGGACACATTCTCAGGGACCCCCTCAAGCACAGAGATGTTGCCACTCTCGACATCCAGCACGCAGAGCACAGGGATGCTTTTGGAAACCATGTTTTCTCCCCAGTCTTCGTAAAACACAAACTGATCCCCCTGAGAACACAAGATACTCAATGCCCAGCCTGTCTATAGGACCTGCTCTGCTTCCTAGAAGCTAGTGCCTCCCCAGGTCTGACAAGCACAGTATGGGAGGGGAGCACAGTGAGCCCCAGGGCTGCCCTGCTGGGCCTTCGTGGATTGACCACGAGCACCTTGATGGGTTGGTCTGGCTTCTTCAGCCTGGCTATCTCATCATCGCTGGCACTGACGTCCAAGGCTTTGGTCTGAAAGAAGGACTCGGCCTTGGGGCGCTTCCTCTCTGCCACATACAACAAGTGTGTCTCCGAGTGCGACCAGGACAGGCAGCCAAAACAGTCTGGGTGCAGGGAGGGCCAATCAGGGGGGGCCCAGGGCTACGGCTACCCCTCCTGTCCACCCTGCCTGCTCACCAGCCAGATGCCTCACCATCCTCATAAACAGGCCCATGTTTCTCCAGCGCTGATAGGTTGAAACTCTTGAGCTTCCGGTTCTTCTCCCAGACCTGAGGACATCTGGGCATTAGGCTGTTTGCCCGCTAACAGAGCCTTATCTGTGGGGCAGAGCCTCTCTCTAGTCACCCACTACCTGGTTCCATGTAGACTCACCTCCAGGAACTGCTTCTCTTCCCCAGGGCCCGTGCCTCCAGCCTTGCGCAGCACAGCTTTCATGCTGCCTGAAGGAGACTCTCTGCTCAGCAGTCTGTGGACATGGGGTAGCACAGGTCAGGAGTATCTTGCAATAACCCCTTCCTGCTCCCTTACTGGGCACCACCTCTTAGGAGAGATTCTGGAGGCTCTGGCCCCACACCAGCTTCTGGAGCACCTTGCCTTTCCTCCCTGAGGCAGAGACTCTACTCTCCCCAGCTCCCCAGGCCACCACAGGCTCTAGTCCAGGTGAGTTTGGAGCAAGCCTCCGGTGCTTATCAGGCCATGTCACCAGAAACTGAATGAGCTCCCAAGGGGGCAAGAATCTGGCTCCTGGCCTCCCTTCTAGGTACATGGTGGGCATTCACAAAAGACTTGCATTGCAGACGCTGTGGCCTTGCTCACAAGATTCCTTCCTCAAACTTACTCCCCCCGGGTCTCCACACTGTTGCCTGCAGGTCCGGCAAACACCACTGAGTCCCCGTCATGGAACACCAGGTATTGGCGGCAGAATCGAATGTTCTCCATGCGTTCCAGGTCCCTCTGGGTCCACTCTGTGAGGGGAGGCATGAGGCTGCTCACCTTGTCTTGGCTACTCTTGGCTACTGCCCCCCAACCCACCTGACCCAGGAAGGCCTAGATCTTCCGCAGTCTGTCAATCTGTCTCCAGACACTGACACCCTGGCTGCGGGCTGGACAACACTTGTCCACAACCCTAGTCCAGGCCTCCAGAGCCTGAGCTGACAGCCTCTTTGAGAGAACCCCCTAGTAATCCCAGCACCCACCCTGGAATCTTGAGGGCAGCCTGGCATGTGTATGGGATGGAGTGTTGGCGGAGAACCCTACAAAGTCCACGCCCTGAGCCCAGGTTTGAATTCTACCCCTACACCATCATCTCGTGCACTCATGGGCACCATTCGATAACGCCCCGCACGCCCCCGCCTCCCCACACACCTGTGTGCAGGGACCTGTGGGAGTGTATCCTCCAAGTACAGGCCGGCTCCCCATACACCCTTACACACTGTCAAGCAGCGAGCCCTCCACACCCGCTTCCTTCCCACCCCAGTGCGCGACCCCGTCGCCAGCCAGTTCCCCTTCGCACACACACCAGTGTGCACCGTCCGGTACTGGCCGCCGTACTGTGTGGTGACCTCCGGGCCCAGGCAGGCGGCGCTCAGCGCGGGCTGGCGGCTAAGGCCCCGATACAGAGCCGCCGCCTCCTCGGGCTCGCTCAGCAGCACCTGCGCAGGGGACACACCAGGGTCAGGCCCGGCCCGGGCTGCAGGGACCACGGGGACCGCGGGCCGAGCCCTCACCTGACGTTCCATAGTCTCCTCTCTGCCGCCTGGGCGAGGCGGGGCGGGGGTGGGGGTGCTCGCGCCCGGAAGTGAGGCTTCCGGGGGCGGAGCCTGGGACCGCCCGGGCTGTCTCCGCCCCTGCCCTGCGGCAATCTGGGAGGGGGGGCTTTCGGCGAATAGGCGAGAACCGTTGGCAAGGGGCGGGCCTTGACGGTGAGAGGACCCGGCCTGGCAGCGAGAAGTCCCGGGTGGAGAGAGCAGAGGCGTCGAGAGGAGGAGCTGGCCTTCCAGGGGCGGACTAGTCAAGTGGGGGGCGGGGCCGTGGGCCGAGTCCCGGGCCTCTTACCGAGGGGCGAGGCGTTGGATCTCGGAGGAGAGAGGGCGGCCCTGTGGAAGCGGAACCCGGGAGCCGGGCTTCGCGGGGGGGTAGAAGGGCCTACGAGAGAAGCGGGTGAGACAGGACTGCGAGGCGGAAGCAGCGCGGTCGGACGGGCATGGCCCGAGCACCTGAAGGGCGAGGCCCGAGGGGAATGGGACCAATGAGTCTCTGAGGATGAAGGACGAGGCGGGCGGGTCCAGAGTGGAGCCCCGCGAGGAATGAGGAGCCGGGAGCCCGTGAGGGTGAGGGCGGGGAGGGGGGCGCCGGCCGCATCGTGGATCTCCCGCGGCTCTGGGGCTGACTGTAGGGTTCCTTCGGGTCCACTACGAGCCGACATTCACTAGACAGTGCCAGGCCCTGCCCTGGAGGGACTCCCAGGCAGACGAAGAAGAGAAAGGCCAGAGTCCGGGCGGAGGGCGCAAAGCAAAGCCCTGGGGTGCGGGGCAGAGGGGCGAGTGCCAACTCTCAGGGTGCTGCCTGGGCTTATCAGTCACCAGGCCTGCCGCAAGAGCTATCTATCCCCGCAGCCTTTACCCACCCTTCTCAGTGGCTCCTTGTTGGGGACTGTGAGCCGGTGGGTTCCTTCCCCTCCTCCCCAGGCCTCAACCTGAGCTCTTGGGTGTGGGGACCCTGGTGGGCTCAGACTCCACCAAGGTCCAGGGAGCTTCCTGTGGAAAGAACCTAGGCAGGCAGGCTTCCTGTGCACGTGGCACAGGATTGGCTGGGCTAAGGTGCCAGCAGAGATCAGGAGAGGCTGGACAGTAAGGATGTCCCCTCCATATACCTGAGTCTGGCTGGTCTTCCACATTCAGGGCCCTGGCTCCCTGCTCCATGGTGTGCTTGTGATTGAGAGTCCACCTGTCTGGCCTGCAGCTTCCCCTTTCCCATCAGCCGCATCATTACTTACTCAAGATTACTAGTTAAAAAAAAGAGTTAAAAAAAAGAGTCCTGGCCAGCCGGGCGCGCTGGCTCACGCCTGTAATCCCAGCACTTTGGGAGGCCAAGGCGGGCGGATCACGAGGTCAGGAGATCGAAATCATCCTGGCTAACATGGTGAAACCCCGTCTCTACTAAAAATACAAAAAATTAGCTGGGTGTGGTGGCAGGCGCCTGTAGTCCCAGCTACTCGGGAGGCTGAGGCAGGAGAATGGCGGGAACCTAGGAGGCGGAGCTTGCAGTGAGCCGAGAATCGTGCCACTGCACTCCAGCCTGGGTGACAGAGTGAGACTCTGTCTCAAAGAAAAAGAAAAAAAAAAAAAGTTCCGGCCAGGCGCGGTGGCTCACGCCTATAATTCCAGCACTTTGGAGGGCCGAGGCGGGTGGATCACCTGAGGCCAGGAGTTCAAGACCAGCCTGGCCAACATGGTGAAACCCAGTCTCTACTAAAAATACAAAAAATTAGCAGGGTGTGGTGGCAGGCGCCTGTAGTCCCAGCTACTCGGGAGGCTGAGGCAGGAGAATGGCGGGAACCTAGGAGGCGGAGCTTGCAGTGAGCCGAGAATCGTGCCACTGCACTCCAGCCTGGGTGACAGAGTGAGACTCTGTCTCAAAGAAAAAGAAAAAAAAAAAAAGTTCCGGCCAGGCGCGGTGGCTCACGCCTATAATTCCAGCACTTTGGAGGGCCGAGGCGGGTGGATCACCTGAGGCCAGGAGTTCAAGACCAGCCTGGCCAACACGGTGAAACCCTGTCTCTACTAAAAATACAAAAATTAGTGGAGTGTGGTGGCATGCGCCTGTGATCCCAGCTACTTGGGAGGCTGAGGCAGGAGAATCTCTTGAACCTGGGAGGTGGAGGTTGCAGTGAGCCGAGATCGTGCCATTGCACTCTAGCCTGGGCAACAAGAGTGAAACTCTGTCTCAAGGAAAAAATAAAAGAGTACCAACTTTCTGACGCCACTGCATTTGTGAGTATGTACAGGACTGTATCAAGGCCAGAAACAGGAGTAGAACGAGTGGCCCCAGCCACCAGTTTGGGTGGAAAGATTGGAAACTAGACTGTTCATCAAGCATTGTTTATGATAGGAACACTGGGAACATAGCACCTGTTCCTAAGGTTGTGTGTGGTAGACTGGCTACGAACTCATGTATCTCTCTGGAGGTTGAGCACTGGAAGACGAACATTTAAGTACCTGAAATAAACATGTGGAAATAAACAGAAAGCTAGAAAACAGTATATATTGCACCTTCTGGCTTCGGTTTAAAATGAAGACTGGAACAACAAACAGGAAAGAAGGACATGCATCAAGATGTTAACTCTGGGGAGAGGGCCAGAGGTGGAGCTGGGATTCTTGTTTATCTGTGTTAAAAAAAAAAAAAAATGTAACAACTCTGGGTGACTTTGGTAAGGAGGTACCCCTGACCATCTGAGGAAGGCCTAAGGTCTGGCAGCCGGCAAGAATTTGGGGGTCGGAAAAATCAGAGAAAGGCAGAGAGGTGTAGGGCTTGTTGGCAGCACCAGGGGGCAGCATTTGTTCACTGCCTCCGTGGAACCACAGGAACACACAGAAAGCTGTGTGTGCAGCCAACACACCTAAAGGCCATGGAGGTGCTGTCCCTTAACAGCCTGCGCACTGACTGCCTGCTCCAGGTCCAAGCTTGGGACCTCCCCTTGGGCACCTTTGTGGAGGGCCCATTGTCTTTGGATGGCTTGGTGTGGACTCAGCCCCATGCTGTGCCAGCACTTCTGCAACTCTGTCCATCCTTTTCCCTTTAACCATGGACAGGATTGTCGCAAATTTGGGGATTTGCTCCTTCAGCTAAGCCTTCCCACTTGAGAAAGCATTCCAGAAACAGTCTGTAGATTGTTTATATCAAGTCCTTTTATTCTGATACCACAGAATTACCTTGTCACAATACAGGGGGAGGGACACTGAAGTACCACGAGTTCTCACAGAGCACAGGAGGACAGCACACAATTCACAAGGTCATGTGGAGGACTCGGGTCATTGCACTTACAACTGTAAACTTGTTTGTTTGACTTTGTACAGCACTCTTCCCCCCTCAAATAAAGAAGGAGAGAAGGAAAGAAAGGGAGAGAGGGAGGAGGAAGGGGAAAGCAAAAACCAAGACATGAAAGCTAGAGGAAAAGGTATTGAGTGGCCACCACTCTCCAGGGTAGTGCATTTGGAGAGAAGGAGCTGATTTCACCCCGGAAACTGAATGAGGCAGAAACATACACACACACACACACACACACACACACACACACACACATCATGTGCATACACACACAATATCTCACAACTTCCATGGCTCTCCAGTGCCACCCCAGTGCACATGGCAGCAGGGCTGCTGGCACCCAGGGAGACAGAGATGGCATCTCCGAGGAGTTTCAGTTGATTAAGCCTGTCCCTCTGACCCTGTTGGAGTCCATGATGACAAGTATTTACAGCACGGGGGTGGGTAACAGGAGAGGGGAGGGGCCAACAGGGCCAGACCATGCTGTCATGGCAAAGGACCTGCCTGGAAAACTCCCTACAGGCTCCAGAAGACAAGGCATAGTTGCCACCACTGCTGTTCTTTCACTGTGGGCCCTGAGACCACATGCTCTGCCCAAGGACTAAAAGGATGATGGTAGGGGGAGATCTGTCACTGTGAAGTGAGTGCACTGGGCCCTGAAGTGGGCAGAGAGAGGAGGCAATGCCCTTGCTCATGATGCTGGGGAGAGGGGTATGGAGAAGGCCTGGGCTGCATGCTAGAGACTCCTTGCCCATTTGGAGATGTGTCTGTTGCTCTCTACTTTCCAAGGCACCGAATGCTGGTCCCTCAGCTTCTGGCTGCATTGTCCCCAGAGTCACAACTGCATCCATGCAAGGGCCAGGAAGGACAGTCCATGGACCAGAGGCCTGCTCCAGCCACCTTCACAGAGGGGCGATGATGTATGCTGTGGGTACAGTGAGGAATGAGGAGTGGCAGACGTCAGAATTTCAAACTCAGAGGGCTTTGCCAGAAAGGAAATTTGCTGAAAAGTCAGTACTTTAGAGCGTTGAGACTGGGCCTGCTGGAGGCTGACCTCCTAACATTTCCCTGCCTGTTCCCTGCTTCTTGTCCCATCCCCTGGCCTGTAGTGGAAAGGACTATTGCCTTGGTCTCCAAGGCACATCCCCACACAGACCTGGTCCTGGGTGGCCAGAGGTGTTAGATGATGGCTTCCCTCAGCCCTTGCTCAGATGGCTGCATTCAGTCCATACCTGATCTCTGGGATGAGGCAGGTATTCCATGGGTTGGGTGAGGTCAAGTTCCAGAAAGGCAAGGTTGTTAAGTCCAACACAAAGGTTGGCAGCTTCCTGTCCCATCCATAGCTACCAGAGGTGAGCGAGGAGCCCTCTCTGAAGGGATGTGTAGACCTTATAGAAAAGCATGAGAAATGCGGACCCCTGAGAAATGCATCGTGCAAACCAGAGCACTCTGGATGAAGGTCAGGCCTTGAAGGGCCAGGCAGCTACTGCCTGCCGCACTCCTGGCTCAGTGGTTAAAAAAAGCTGAGGAGCAGCAGGACGCTTGGGCTTTGGAGAAGGGGGTGGGCAGGGAGCATAGATCCTGGGGACAGATGCAGAGAGGGTCACACAGGACCTTCTGTAGGATTTGCTATTGAGAAACTTCACAAGAAACTTAGCTTGAAGTCATTGTTTATATGAACAGTTGCAGATGACCATTGTCAACTGTTCTCACCACAAGTGCCAAAGGCCCAGCTCTTCCTGAGCGTCCATTGACCCCCTAGCTCCAGCCCAGATCTCCTGCCTTACAGTCCTTTGAGCCTCCTAGCCACAGAGGAGAGGCATGAAACAGGTGCAATCTAGAGCTGGGGTCCCTCAGGCACAGCCTGGCTCTACTCTTGCCTCTGCCTCTCCGGCCATGGATGCTGCCCAGCTCTGCCCTTGTGTAGTGCCCTCTGGGAAAGGGCTGTCAGATGCCTCTGGCTCAGGGTTGGGGTAGGAAGGGAAAAATGACAGACAGACAGAAATCCTACAGCAAACCTTCAGAATGTCCATACACACACATCCTGTGCAGGCTCCTACCATTGAGTCTGCTCTGGGGACTCCTTTTTACCTACTATCCTGGACAGAGAAAACTGCAGGGTATGTGGAGGCCTTGTACTGCCTGCCCTGCAGCCTGGCACGCTCAGGCAACAATTCTGGCAGGTCCTCACTAGCTTGTGCAGAAGTCAACTAGAAGTGCTCCTGAAGGAGAGGTTCTGAGGCAAAAAGAACTCCAAGCAAGA